AATTGAAAACAAGAATAATACCAGTGGTAAAGGTGCACTTGGAATTATAAAAAATGGAACAAAACAACACATTGAAAGAATCCTGGAAACCCCAGCTTAAAGAGACATACAGAAAATTGTCTTATTAAGTACAGCACACACACTAAGGAGAACTTTGTCTATGTAACGCTAGCAACTTCATCGGAGATAAAAAAAAAAAAAAAAAAAATTAAATTAACATGAAATGTGGCCATAACAACACCACGACCTGCCTTAGGTCTTTCCGCAGACTTGGTAGGTAGTGTGTCCATAGCAGAGAAATAATAATAATAATAATAATAATAACATATTGATATACATCAATATATATAAAGAAAGGTATGTCAAGGTGAATAGAATTTTTATCAATAAAGCAACCAATAGATATCTAGCACAATAATTTGAAGAAAAGTTTGAACAAATTATTATATGAAAAATATTAAAAGACCAAGAGACTTATCGAAGATCAACTCAGAGTTTCGCTATATTTCACTTCAGGATCCAGATAAGAATATTATATTATTACAGAGTTTTCAATAATTCATGCAATATATATATATATATATATATATATATATATATATATATATATATATATATATATATATATAACCTTGTAGAACTCTCTTTTCGGCTTCTAACTTTCCAGTCAAGCACAATTTTCGAAAATTTAAATGCAATGTCAATCGCTGTCTTCCTGTTCTTTTATTGTTTTCTCTATTTGTTAACGCAATACTTTTTCTTACATTCTTTTTCACTTAATAGCTCCCCGCGTGTTTGTCGGATTGCGATGGACTGATTATATATGTGTTGGATAATGATATATATATATATTTTTTTTTTCTATAAATTTTAATATACGAAGTAGAGATTTGAAAGAAAAGATGCATGACAATTGTCAAAAAAAGGTTTTGTGAGGTGTTTCATCTGACTGGGTTTGTTTACGTACACACACACACACACACACACACACACATATATATATATATATAACGGAAAAATAAAATAAAATAAAAATAAAAAAATAAATAAAATGACAATAATTTAAGCAAAAAAAAATTAACCCCAACAAATTACCAAAAGATAGGAAAATCTAAATGGATCTTTCACTACAGAATTAATAATTATCGCAATCGAATTAAGTCGACACCCCATGAAAGATTATTACCTGTAGAACATTCCCGCCTAGAAAAATACAATTTTAAAACCGATGCCAAATTCACTATAATTATGAGAATAGAAAAGTTCAGAGCAGATAACATTAGAAAGATTTTAGAGTTCCATGAAAATAAGTGGATACAACGTTTAAAAACGCACTATCCAGACGGACTTAATCACAAATTTAACAATATAGATAGTATTAATATATAACCCCACAAATCAGGACCTACCCAGATTATTCACCAACACAAGACAGAAATATGCTTACGGAAGTGTTGTGGACTCACACTTATACATACACCCACATGAATATAAACACTTACACACATCATACTCGCTCACTCCCTAATGAGCCAAATAATGACACACATCATTAGTAAGATGCAACCTTACACACATCATATTCACTCACTCCCTAAGAACCAATTAACACATACACACACACACATATATATATATATATGTATGCAGAGAGAGAGAGAGAGAGAGAGAGAGAGAGAGACAGAGAGAGAGTAAATTACGTGTCATTTTTCTGTCGAGCTTCATTCCTTAGTCGCACCACCCCTGACATTAACTGGAATACCCCATGTCACATCCACAAGAGTGAATCAGCCACATTCCCTGCGTATTAATACAGTAAGAAGTAGGTTTCATTTGGGTAGTTTCTTCCCAGACCAAATTAGTAGAACAAACGCCGAACGGGATTTTTTCACAGTCACTACAAACTTAATCTCTTAAAGTCTAGGGTTAACTCTTATCTTTTATGCATAACAACATAAAGTTCTCTTTTGATCCTTTCTTAGGCTCATATAATACCATAAAATATTCCTCTACCTTGAGTAACTCTTGTGCCTTGTATCTGGTGGATATTAGCATAAAATTATATACACGGAAGAATTAAGATGGAAATGAAATAAATCTAAACGAGAAGACAAATAAAGAGAAAATGAAAACGTTTCTTCGGCAAGGCGTTTCAATCATGATTTACAAATTCCCATCAAGGGTCGAAACATATGAACTGAAACATCAGTGAAGAAAAATAATATCTGTTTCTTAAAAAGAAGACATAGAGAAAAATACAATCTGACGAAGATTTTAAGTAAACAATGTCTATGAAATATAGTCGATGAATTCATATAAATTAATAATTCACGCACACACACAAACACAGAGAGGGAGAGAGAGAGAGAGAGAGGGAGAAAGAGAAAGAGAGAGACAGAGAAAGAGAGAGACAGAGAGACGGAGTAACAGTGAGCGAGAGAGCGAGAGAAGAGCCATGTATATAAAGAAATATTTTATATATATATATATATATATATATATATATATATATACATATGAAATTTTCTCAGAGTTAACCTGTAGAAAAGACAATATTTATAAATAAAAATGACAATATTCTCCACTAGTGACAATAACTGACGTTATTTTCAGTTAACAATATGAAAATAGTGTCTTCTAAATTCCTGCAGTTGCTAAGAACATTCTTTTTTTGTTATTATTAGCTACGTTCTTTAATTAAATTCATTTCGTTTTTTGCTTTGAGAAAGTCCACATTGGACGAAACGCGTAAGCAATAACTAAAGTATTCCTATTGCTATTTATATATATATATATATATATATATATATATATATATATATATATATGAAAATAAATACATATATATATAAATGTACCTATATATACACACACACACACACATACACACACACACACACATATATATATATATATATATATATATATATATATATATATATATATATATATATTTATGTTTTGTATGTGCGGTCGATTTCGGCTATACTTAGCCATTCTCAAGGACGATTTTATTTTATCTATCATGGACATATAAAAACATTTGGACACTTTTTAAATAATTTACGTCCAGAAAAGAAAAAAATATAGGAAGACAATAAAAATGAATTATATATATATATAATATGATACCTCCATAATATTCCTGTCTTATAAAAGTCCCCTAATTTATGAAAGCTCGTTTGATTAATTTTTATTTTTAATTTTTTTTTAATTTTAAATAATTTGGGGTATAGCTTGTTTTTCCTAATAGTTTAACCTATCCTATATGTTGTAAATGGATAGTTTATTCTAACTTTAAATTGTTTCACCCTTAAATCACTCTTTACTTAACAATATAAAACCCTTAAATCTATTCTTTCCTCATATTAATTTTCTAAATACGATTTATTGTTAATCCTATTATTACGTATTTGGTGTTAGCATAATTTGGTTTCCTTAACGGCAACCTGAATTCCTTTATATATAATTAAATTTTTTGGTCATAAACTTCCTTTTCGAGTTCTCCTTTACTTTCAATTCAACACCTCACTCTTCATATAACCTAAACTTAGGATCATAATGTGGGGATTGATTCCAACAGGCCTCTTCCCCTTTTAGAGAGATACATCACGCCCTCTCCTTTTTATCTGGCTGAGTCCTTATTTGGGGTAGGCTCGGTATCTTTTCCTCGACTGCTATCAAAATTAAATTCTAAATCCCTGATTCCGCGGCCAGGGTTGAAGAACACTGGCGCAAGGTAGGGCTAGTTGAAATAGGCTATACCGACATGAGGTAAATTTGTATTTTTGCTGTGTAATATATTTTCTCTGTTATAATAAATACATTGATCTCTCATTTTGAATCAGTTTTAATATTTCATATCATTAGGCTTCATTTGGTTTGGTTTAGGTTTGGTTTACTCGTTTAACGGCATATCGAACTCAGTGGGTTATTTAATGCCGACAACATTTATAGGGTAGTTTCGTATGAATAGAGTATGTATTCTTTGGTTTAGATTGGTTTGGTTTATTTTGTTTAACGGCATATCAACCTCAATGGGTTATTTAATACCGAGAAAATTTTTATTGGTGATAATATTTTGTTTTGTCAAAAATCTGTTTCTGGTAATATATTTCCTTCAAAATTGTATTGCTGGTAATAATTTTTTTCAAAAAAGTATTGCTTGTAATAGTTAACTATTTGCCCATAGCTGGGACCCTAACAGCTGCTACCACCCCGGGTTACGGTGGACTTGAGAACACCAGCAATTAAGAGGTGGTTCCACGCTCCTCAAAACCTTCTGATTAGAGGCCTTGCTGCTGGACGTAGTTTAACGTCTTACCCAGTACGCTAGGCTTCATTTGGATTATATATATATATATATATATATATATATATATATATATATATATATATATATATATATGTGAAAATGTATGACGTTAACAAATAAAAATATGTAACAAATATATGGATATAGATCAAAATTTTCAGTATGAAAGATAACTAAAATTTTTAGTTCTGTTTCAAGATTTTGAAAAATTTCATGATCAGTCTTACTCTTATGTCCATCGTCTTTCACATTAAATATAGTAAAACAGTATAATTTGTATTAATTCAAAATGTCGGATCTATATCCATATATTTGTTATATAATACATAATCAAATATATATATATAAAATTTTAATATAGTTATATGGTCACCATCGATCTGAAAAATTTCAGTTGTATTCTAAACTATGTCTGTTTTGAGTGGCACAGTCTAACCTCAGTGAACTTTCATATTTCATAAAAGATGTTGGGTAATTAACATCGTATTCACACACACACACATGTTGCATTAATATATAGTTTTAATGTTAATTGATTTGTTTTATGAATATGTCCTCAAAAAGAAGATGGTCTACTTTTTTTTTTTAGATCGAAACGTCCGACGTTGACATTATATTAACATTAAAACAGCATAATTGCATATTATATGCTACAATTTGTTTTTTGTTTGTTTTTTCAACCTATATTTTTCTGTTTTATACTGTCGGATCTATATCCATATATTTACTATAACATACATAATACATAATACATACAAATATATATATATATATATATATATATATATATATATATATATATATATATATATGGTCACCATCGAGCAGAGACACTGTTTCATGCATGAATGCTGTATTAGAAAAACTATGAAGATTGCGTTCAGGCATGATAGTGACGTCAGCCTGTCTGCTAGTCGTGCTATTTTAACCTCAGTGAACCCTTTCGGATGAATCTGGTTAGATTTAGCCCTCGTCACACGCTTCCAACGTCTTTCTAAGATGTTGGGTAATTTTACACATCAGTACATATGAGGAATAAAAAACAAGTATGTGTAAAATAAAATTAAAACTATATTTTGTTACTTTATACATACAAACACACACACACACATACACACACACACTTAACATCAGTTGTCTGTTACATATATATATATATATATATATATATATATATATTATGGTGCATTGAAACTCAAAAAGGCTTAAGAGCTGAAAGATTTGGGTGAAAATCTCCGGCATATTGTCAATCCCCTTTCTTTGTTTTCGGAAATATATTTCCATTTTTAGTCTTCTTACCCCCATCTTTACAAAAGCCAAGAAGTTTTCCTACTCCTTCGCGTCATACCTTCCTCTTTTTTTTTTTATCTCGTTTTTATCAATCGGCTTTATGCTTTTACCCTTCCTTTATTTTTTGATTTTTTTTTGTCTCGTGTCTGCCCAACTTTCTCAATACAACGAGAACTGATTACATTCACTTGTCTTTCAGAGACATTAACACAAGCGGCCAGATGGAAACCTTTTATCCTCATCGGGATTAACACGTCTCTGATAATATGCAGTGAGCTACAATTTTGTTTTTATTGGAGTATCGGGCGAGGCCAACATTCAGCAAATTGAATAACTGTATCAACCTCAACCTTTCCATCCAAAGTTGTTTTTTTTCAATTTCTCTCTTTTTCTGCAGCCCTGGTTTCTATTCTTTCCTACTATTATTAAAATACTAAGCTCTGTTCCATCTTCAATCAAAATTTTTTTTTAGATTCCAAACAAAATTTCGCTTGATGATGGAACAGAGATTGGTACTTTAATTCAATTTAATTCAAATAATTATATTGTTTTTTTCTGCTTGATGATGGAACAGAGATTGGTCTTTAATTTCTCTTGTTTTTGAAACATGAGAACTCTTATGTAGCGATGGAATCATATTTCTAAATAAATAATTATATATATATATATATATATATATATATATAATGCCCAGTTTATCGTTTAATGCATTGATTTGGTAAAGTTCAGCATCGTGTTTGGAATAAAAGGTGGGATTTAACAAAAACGAAAATCCGAGTGCACAAACCTGTTGACCTCACCCCCCCACACACACATTTGTACGGATCTGAGTCTTGGACTCCATATCGCCCACACGTAAATTAGTTGGATGTTTTCCGCGACGACTGACTACGCTGAGGGCATACACAGGAAGACAAGATCACAGATGGCGATCCATTTGCACAGTGCAAAATTGGAACACATCGAGACTTTTCTGATGTAATCTCAATTGCGTTGCGCTGAGTATGTCAGAATAAGCGACAATAGAATACCAAATGTTCTTATGTACAAACAACTAATGTAGTCAGGCTTTGAGAAGGTGAAGAGTAATCTTGAAGCTGTCAGAGTAGCACATAAGACGTTTGAGCTGACAGCCATGGACCAAAATGTGTGGTGTCTATATTGTTGCAATTGTATGAAAGACTTTGAACTCAGACACCTCTAACAAGGTCATGACACACATTATCAGGCGCGCACACACCCACCACAAATAAATTCTCACGTCGTCGTCATCCGTCCGTCTCGAGAGACGATGGAGTAGCGCGATGCGCTACGAGCCTGGGCGGAATAGTTGGAGAACTAGGGCTGCCCAGACGTCTAGTTCTCCGTCTCGGCCTTGCTAGCAGAGTCCAAAGGAGAGGATAAGCCAATACAGTTTGGTACCAATGCGGCTGCAGGAGTTGCCGGAGGGTAGCACAAAGTGCCGTCCATCCGCCTTAGGGGCTCCACTCAGGGTTTGAATTCAGAGTTATCCTTCTCCTAGACTAGTTGCCACCCAAGGCTCTAGAACCCAATCTATCCTGCTATTTACCCATAGCTGGAGGGAGAAGAAGAGGATTCGAAAAACCCTCGAATTTTTGATTTGGTAATCAAATCAATCTCGAGGGAAAAAAAAGAAAGAGCTACAAACATGAACTGCCGACAAAAAAATCGCACAGCTCACTAGGTGTATATATATATATATATATATATATATATATATATATATATATATATATCCAGAGATGCACGCACGCACACACACGCACACACACACACACACACACACACACACACACACACACATATATATACAACCATGCCAATATCCACG